CAGCCCCGCTGCCCTAACCCAGCAGTGCCCTGCTGGGACAGAACCAGACCATGGGCAAAGGGCTGCGGCCATGGCCAGGCTCCTGCACCCTAAACTGCATTTCCAGCTGCCAGCACTGCTAGGCAGTGCTGGGCTGGACGGAGGCTGCTCTGGCCTGAGAAGGCAGTGCTGGTGTCCTCCCCCCAGGAGAAGGCATCTACCTGAGCTTCTCAGCATAGCAGCAATAGTTAAGTCTTGATGACATGACTGACTCTTCTCTGTTGGTCTCAAAATAAAACCCTTCTGCATATTACTGAGCTCAGCCAGGGTAACACCTAAGCAGCAGCAGGTCAAGCTGCCCCAATGGACTGTGGCCCATCCTGCCACTGGGCTAAGTTCCCAAATTGTTAGTGCTCACAGAGCTAGGCACAGCATACGAACTCGGCACGCCATTTCTATGGGCAAAAACGGTTTGTCCCACTGTTGCAGGTGCCACATCAGAAGGCTGTTAGCCTACATCAGTGCTGATGGAGTCCAGCCCCACTACCTGAAAGGGGAAGCTGCTATGGCTATGGGTGCGCTTGAAGAAGGACCTTCTCCTCCCCACAGCTGGGCCTGTCCCCCCCCCATCACAGCTCTAGGGAGAGGAAGGACTGCACAGCTTCCAAGAAAATGGTCAGGATGAGGCAGTGTTGGCTTATACTAACAAACAAAACAGGCAGAATCAGTGAAGCGTTGGCTTATATCAACATAAGCTGCCCTAGAAGCACTTACAGCCTCATTTGCAGCTCCCCACCGGGTTTATACCAGAGTGCCTGTAAAATAACCATCCTGCCTCCTGATGCCACATGTTACATACACCTCTTTTGGCACTGGAGCATGTAGTCATGTTGGTAACTGATGAGCAGGCTGAAAGTCAGGTGTTGGCTTTGTCACGCCCACAGCAACCCAAGGCACCTTTGCAACCCCGGGCAGCTTCCTGATGCAGGGCGCGGTGCGCCTGCCACCGGGCGACTCATGCAGGCAAAGGGGAAAGCCGGTGTGCGGCTAGCACCAAGCAGCCAGCGGCAGAAACTCGCTGCCCGTGAGGGCCCCCTACTCTCCGCGCAGGCAGCCCTGCACCAGGCCGCTGCTTGTGTCGCTGCAGGCCCGTGCGGAGGGGAAGCGCGCTGGCA